AGAGCCACTTCTGGCTTTTTTCTTTTTGCTTATGTGGTGCTGAGGAATCGAACCCAGGGCCTCATGCATGCAAGGCAAGCACTCTCCCACTGAGCCACCTTCCCAGCCCCTCAGAAGTGACCATTTTTATGTTCACCTTGTCTGAGTTTCTTGCCTAACATGCTATAGTATCTTATATATGGATGGCTTATCTCCCCTTTGTACCTTATTTAAGATAAAATGATCAGTGGGGAAATGAGGCAGGATAGATGAGACAGAAAACCTATATTATTTTTAAATACATACCAAAAGAGCTGGACTCAGCAGCTAAAACTTGGAAGTAAATTGAAAAAAGCAAAGCTCCCTTCACTCTATATTTCCTTTAGATGTTAAGTTACAAGATTAGGAAAAATAGGAGGGGCTTTTAAAATCTGCCTTCTTTAAAATGAAGGAGGAACTGGGCGCTGGTGGCTTACTCCTGTAATCCTAGCTACTCAGGAGGCTGACAAAAATAAAATAAAATGGGGGTGGGGGAATCCAAATATCTCCTATCCATTGAAATGGCAAAACCCTGGGGAGAAACAGAAAGAATGAAAGGTTTATCAGGCAAAAGGAAGTCCTGAAGAATACCTTCATTTGAGGTAGGCCAAACAACACACCCATTTGCCTATGTAGGACTGTTGTCTAAGGATTTGTTGTTACTATACAGTACTTGGCCCATTGTATTTGCCCAATTCAAAAAGTTTAAAAGTTACAGGTAGGAACTGCTGTTTTGAATTTTTTAACTCCCGTTTCTTGCATGGGAAGCAGAAAATGTTTCTTTTTCCGTTTCCCCCCTCTTTTAATCTGGTTATACTAAAATAAATCCTTGTTGACAAAAAATAAATACAATAGTAATCTTCCACTAATGAATAATTAGTATTTCTACTAATATCATAGGAGTTTTTGTTTCTTTTTTCTTTCTTCCTTTCTTTCTTTTTTTTTCTTTTTTTTGTCGGTCATGGGGCTTGAACTCTGGGCCTGAGTACTGTCCCTCAGCTATGCAGCTCAAGGCTAGCATGCTACCACTTGAGCTACAGTGCCACTTCTGGTTTTCTGGTGGTTTATTGGAGCTAAGAGTTTCACGGACTTTCCTGCCCGGGCTGGCTTTGAACCACGATCCTCAGATCTCAGCCTCCTGAGTAGCTAGGATTACAGGCATGAGCCACGGGCACCCAGCAAGTTTTTGTTTCTTCTGTAAAGAAACTTCCAATTAGGGAAGAACTTATTCTTACTTTAACTTTTGAAAATAGACAATTAGAATTTAATTAGCCTATATTAACACAGTTGACTTCTGTTTTCCCCATTTCTCTTGTATATGAAGATTCTAAGTTGCTGCACACAACTCAACAGTTCTAGTAAAATCATAGTCTTCAAAAAGTATATTTTGTATACTAAACAAAGAGGCTAGAAATGTAAATTGACTAATACTTAGCACTTTGGCAGTGTTAAAAGAGTTTAAGTATGTCTTAAGAGGCAGTTTTTTGGCACTGACTCTGTAAAACTAGTTATAATCACCCCTACTCATATTTTCTCTTCCTCCCTCCACTTCCTTCTCTATGATTATTGGTTACTAATTGTCTATAATTTGGGGGCTTTTGTAAAGGTTTTCCTTCTAAGATCACTGAAATCAAGAATAATTGCCTACTTACTATGCAACACAAGACAAAAGTAATGCCTATAATCGATTTTTAAAACTTCCTAGTCTTCCACATGTATTGCCAAGAAAAGTGGTTATTAAACTTTTGATTGCTATCTATTATTAGGTCACCCCATTTGGTGAATTGAAATCACATCTGAAAGTTAAAAACCATAGAATATAATCAGTGATATTGAGTTCCATAATAAAAGACTAAGCATTGTTTACAAAACATTTTTCTATTATATTTCAATGTTGTAAAACAGATGCAACTTAGATTTGTGATAGGTGTGTAAAAAATAAGTGCAAAAATAACTGCTCTATTCCATGAGAACACAGGTAAAAAGTTGCATTACTGTATAAGCATCTGTGTCTAAAGAGATTGAATTCTGGCTTTGTAACCTGAGTGAAACATCTGAAAAATCATAGCTTCAATTGTGAAGACTTTGTAAGTAGCCAAAATATTAATGTGACTTCACAATCACTTTCCATGATTAAAAGGGAAAGATTATAAGGAAACTCACCTTATTTCTTCCACTTTTCTGAGCTAAGATTTGCTGAGCAATCTATAAGCAAGTCTTAACTCAAACAATTCTACATTTCTTTTCATACCAAGTACTTACAAGGAATATATCCTAACACATATTTTAAGTGGGTATCCAATAGTAATGAAATTTTACAGGCTAAAAATGAAGTGGATTTTAAAGACATATTTGTGAATTGCATTCACTACTAAAGAACAAATATTTAAAAAAGAGTTAAATGAAGAAGTGAATGAAACAATTCTGAAGTGATGTAGTTAACATTTCTGGAGAGAACGATACAAAAAAAGTGTCTTTGTCTTAATAGAGAAAATTATTTACAAAGTAAGACCTCGTGCGAATGAGAATAAATTACCATCTCATTATACCCATAACGAAAGCCAAACATGGCCAGAGGAGTAAGGATAGGGAGCACAAGAACATCAGAAAATGTAAATTACATGCAGATTAGGAGAAATAAACATTTGTTTTTCAAGGCCTAATTCATGTTACTCAATATTGACTCCCAAACTATTGCGGAAGCTAGGC